GTAGGAGAGGTAGTGGTAGTAGAACATTCCTTGAAGTCATGGCCGTCTTTACCGCAGTTTGTGCAGTACTTCTTCCCTTTCAGAGGACAGTCAGGCGTTGAGTGGTGATAGGAGTAGCAGGTCCAGCATGGCGAGATGTGGGCGAAACGTTCGGGTTCTTTGTGACTTGGATGGATATGATAGTAGGAGATAGCTAGGCCGTCAGACAGTGCTCTAGTAGCCATCTCGATGTTGGAGAAGGTTAGCTTGATCATTGTAGAGGCATTGGGGATTTTGGTGATACGTTCAATCGACGCCCAGGTATTTTGTTCCTCGATCGAGGTCTTGAGATCCTCAGTCGATAAAGAAGTGACGAGTTTGTCCAGCCGTTTGACGAAAACGGAACGTTTCGCCAGCAAAAAAGGTGAAGGGGAGATGGTGAACTGTCGGTCTCTGAGGGTTTTCATAGAGGTGTCGGCCATCAGCTTTGAGGCTTCATAATCGTCAGTACAGATGAATGAGTCTTTCGTCGAGTGGATGACAAGTTTAGTAGAGTCATTTATTACTCCACTGTTGGGTTTGATCCTTACACGGTTTGCAAGCATCATGAAGGAGTAAGGTAGGCGCTGGTACGATGATTATAGGTTCCCCTCCCCGACGGGGATCGAAGGAACACTTCTTGAGGTGAGGAGCGACTGTGTCTAACGATGACTAGTTGAAATGTGTGACGAAGACGAAATAGAAACAGAACATTATGAACAACCCACTGACGACGACGAAGTAGTAGTCGAAGAAGTAACCGAAGAAGAAACCACAGGCAACCGTTACCTAAGCCAAGCCTTTAACGGGTCTCTAACCTTCTACACCACCCCCAACCTCCCAACCGAAATGAGCGCAGCTGATATGCCCCAGTTAATGAAAGAGGGAGCTGTTAAGTACACCTGCACCAAACCTCACCAAATTCCTTTTGAAAACGCACTATCTTACCTCGTGACGAATCTGGACTGCTCAAACCTCAGAATGCAACTATTCCACATGTCCAAGAGAGACTTCAAAAGACTCAAGAGTGGCTCCATCACCAGCGAAGTGTAGCCAACACACAACACACTTCCGCAACATACAACGTAAGCCTCCCGACACCTGACGTCCAAAACAGCTCTTCACCTGAGCCTGAAGCATATCAGCCAGCGAGCACTGTCTGCAGTCTGCTCTCTCCTCTATGTCCTCAACATGCCCTCTCTACACTGCCTCGCAGTGCCACGCAGCTGGGTTTAGCCCTGGCTCTTTCATCTACAACTCAAGACCTTCCTCTCACCGACTATTCTTCGTCTGTCCACACTTCCCCACTCATCCACCGGAGTCCCAACAGAAGAGCCTGCTATGTGTGTTCTCAATGTCTGTCCCACGATCGACTTAGCTGCTGGGTTAAGCCCTGGCTCTATTTCTACAACTAAAATCACTCCTCTCCAGCACTATTCTTCGTCTGTCCCGTCTTCCCCGCTCATCCCATTTGGGATCTTACCTGAACTTTCGTTCGTTCGTTCGGGTGGCTGAGAACTGTGTGATCCGGGTTGGTGTATTAATTAGTTGAGTGTAACTATTTAAATCTAGAATTTACTTATACCTTTTACATAGCCAGTTATTTTGCTGTTGAAAACAGATATTGGCGTCTGCAATTGTTATCCAGTCCGGACAAGACTCTTCAAAAGTCTTCTGAGAACTGGTCGTGAGTGGAAGGGCGGTAACTAGTTCCTACTAAGATGGGTTTGGTTATGTGAAGCAACACTTTAGACCATAGAATCTCCAGTTTGTCATTTAAATCAGGTCTTGGGTTGAAAGCTGTCATTTCTTGTGTAGGTACAAACCCCACCACCTTTTCTGTTCATATCTAAGCGTTTTATATTGTAACCTTCTATTTTGACCTCACCGTCAGTCACCGTATCATCCAACCAGGATTCAGAGATGGATATAACTGCCGCCCTAGTTCTGTTAGCTAGAATCCTAATCTCTGTCAATTATGGAAAAAGTGATCTTGCGTTCACATGAATAAAGTGAAGGTCTGTTTTCATAAACAATCATAATCATCAATATATAGCAATAGGTCATTTGCGTTAAAATTAGGTAAAATAATGTTATCACTTCTAAAGGGTAACTGTGTCAAAGTGCATTTGTTGCAAACAAAATGAAATCTGGTATTACCATAATCGTACACACAACCATTATGCGCCCCCCCCCCCATCCTTACACATTGTACATAAGGTATATTTACTGTTCTTCTTTCGTACCTAGCTACTAGCCTGTCATTATCACCGTCATGTATCTGTCTGTTTTGCACCTGTACCATAGTTTGAGGTCCTGGATTAGTTTGGATATCGCCACTTATTAGCACCACTATAAGAGCTGTGCGCCACTGTTTTTGTTTGGGTATGCAGTGTTGCCATACCTTGTAGCAATAGTGACATTTACGTTTCTGGTAGGATGGCAACTGTTGGGCTCTCACTGTCCAGGATACTATCACTACATTTGCCTTCTTAATTCCCCATGACTAACTGCCTTCTTCAGAGAATTGCAGGACGAAGGTAAATTTTCTTCCTTAAAAAACAAACAAAAAAAAAAAACAGAAGACACTGCTCGCTATGAGTCACCTAGCAATGTCCTAGTACACTGCTCGCTATGAGTCACCTAGCAATGTCCTAGTACACTGCTCGCTATGAGTCACCTAGCAATGTCCTAGTACACTGCTCGCTATGAGTCACCTAGCAATGTCCTAGTACACTGCTCGCTATGAGTCACCTAGCAATGTCCTAGTACACTGCTCGCTATGAGTCACCTAGCAATGTCCTAGTACACTGCTCGCTATGAGTCACCTAGCAATGTCCTAGTACACTGCTCGCTATGAGTCACCTAGCAATGTCCTAGTACACTGCTCGCTATGAGTCACCTAGCAATGTCCTAGTACACTGCTCGCTATGAGTCACCTAGCAATGTCCTAGTACACTGCTCGCTATGAGTCACCTAGCAATGTCCTAGTACACTGCTCGCTATGAGTCACCTAGCAATGTCCTAGTACACTGCTCGCTATGAGTCACCTAGCAATGTCCTAGTACACTGCTCGCTATGAGTCACCTAGCAATGTCCAAAGTACACTGCTCGCTATGAGTCACCTAGCAATGTCCTAGTACACTGCTCGCTATGAGTCACCTAGCAATGTCCTAGTACACTGCTCGCTATGAGTCACCTAGCAATGTCCTAGTACACTGCTCGCTATGAGTCACCTAGCAATGTCCTAGTACACTGCTCGCTATGAGTCACCTAGCAATGTCCTAGTACACTGCTCGCTATGAGTCACTTAGCAATGTCCTAGTACACTGCTCGCTATGAGTCACCTAGCAATGTCCTAGTACACTGCTCGCTATGAGTCACCTAGCAATGTCCTAGTACACTGCTCGCTATGAGTCACCTAGCAATGTCCTAGTACACTGCTCGCTATGAGTCATCTAGCAATGTCCTAGTACACTGCTCGCTATGAGTCACCTAGCAATGTCCTAGTACACTGCTCGCTATGAGTCATCTAGCAATGTCCTAGTACACTGCTCGCTATGAGTCACCTAGCAATGTCCTAGTACACTGCTCGCTATGAGTCACCTAGCAATGTCCTAGTACCTACTTTACTAGTCACCACTGATGGCTAGTAGATTTTGTTATCTTACTTCACAAATCCCCTTTACCTCTTATTTACCCCCTTACTTCATAAACCCCCTTCACCCCTTATCCCCTTACTTCACAGTCCAGCTTCACCTAACACACTTCCAGCTCATTCCCATCCTGGCAGGATAACAAAGTTTTAATCACTGGCGTTATCCGTCCAAAGCCTCATCAATCCTATTTATGGGGACAGCGTCGTGTTGTTGACTGGTCCTGACCGTAGAGGTGATGTTTCACCCATAGCAATGTTTTACTTACTCCATTGTTTTCTCTTGGTGTTGATGAGGGGCTCTTGATCCAAGGAAGTGGACATATCTTTACCTTGGTTGGATTGAATCTGAATGTCTCCCCTATGACAGGTGTTATATGGCCCTCACGGGTTTAGCTCTTTCTTCTCATTAAAATGCTACGGTTGTCAACATGGCTGATGCGTCGTGTGACCTGTATGGGAGATTTAATGGAAATTCTGTTGGTTTCTTTGTGATTGGAAAATGCGTCGTCTGGTCAGCTTTGAACTTTTATTTTTAAAGTTCGAACTTTTTATTTTTATCAGTTACTTGATGTTTGGAGGTGTAAGTTATAATGTTCCAATTTTAGTAATCAAATTGGTTTCAGTGGGGTAACTGGTTTCAGTGGGGTAACTGGTTTCAGTGGGGTAACTGGTTTCAGTGGGGTAACTGGAGAAAGTCTCTTCTGATCAGAAATAAGTCAGTGTTTGACTTTATTTGGTTATCCTATGTTAAATAAACTTAACGTTCTTTTTACGTGCCTAAAACATCTGTGTTCCCTCAGCAACTTTCTTAAACATTTGTATGTTATGTATGTTAGTCTTACGTAAAACTTACTTTCTCTTCTTTGAAAAAATTGAATACTTCTGATGTGACAATTTCTGATTGTTGCATCTGATTAGCTTTAAACCTTCCATGATAATTACTTGATAATGCAACATCTGAGCTGCTTCAAGCTTAATGTGCTTGTGTATTTTCGGTCCCTTTGGTCCCTCTGAAACACCTGAATTGGATTCGGACGGTATGAGTCCCTAGTGTCCATTTTTAAAGGAAAGAATTTGGATATTAGTTTCTCAATACTGACTTGTGAATGTTTCTTCTGATTTCCATCTGTATTATTCCAGTCACATGCATTAAGGTACTGGGGACTTGGGTTATGGAATTCACTCCTAGAGAGGCAAACGTTGACACAATAAAATGCCACAAGAGTTGCATCTCTGTCTATTTACCTAACATTTTGTCGGTAATTCTACCTTTAATACCGAAATACATCCAGTTTTTTTTTTTCATTTCCATGACGTATTGCAGAGGAGGAGGATGAGTGTGAGGGGAGAGAGCTGTCAGCTTCCAGAGGAAGTGTTGGTGCTGCCTCGTGTGTTTGAGTGTGTGGTGATGGGTCACCCAGCATCACCAGCCGTCAAGGATGCTGCCACTCACCACTCCTGGACCACCTACCATAACCTCAACCAGAGTGCCAATAAGCTAGCAAGGTTAGTACAGTGTCTTTTGTGTATGTACTCACTCATATGTGCTTGCAAGGATCGATTTATAGCTCCTGGCCCCGCATCTTTGCTAGTCGCTACTAGCTCCATTTTTTCCAGGCTTCAAGAGCCTTATCATACCTGTTCTTAAAGCTATGTATGGATCCTGCATCCACTAGTTCGCTCTCATGATTGTTCCACTTCCTAGCATCCTATCACTCATCTGAATTTTTAACTTCAAATTGTGTACACTTGTTTCTGTGTTCTATTTCTAAAACATTCTGTTTACCTTGTCAGTTCCTCTCAGTATTTTATATGTCGTAATCATGTACCTTCTATCCCTCCTGTCCTTCAGTGTCACCAGCTATGTATGGAACCTGCCTCACTACCTCACTCTTCAGACTATTCCACTTCCTGACAGTTCTGTGACTGAAGAAATACTTCCTAACATCTCCGTGACTCATCTGAGCTATCAGATGAGTCCGAAACGTTTCCTTACTGAGATGCCGGAATGCTAATCTTAGGTTCGTTAGTCGCCCATTTGCTGCAGCAGTTATTTGGTTGATATGCGCTTCAGGAGATGTGCTCGGTATTATACACACTCCAAGAACCTTTCCCTTGAGTGAGGTTAGTAGTCTTTGGCCTAGACTGTACTCTCTCTGTGGGCTTCTTTGCTCTTCCCAGATCTTCATGACTTTTCACTTGGTGGGGTTGAACTCCAGGAGCCAATTGTTGGACCAGGCCTGCAGCTTGTCCAGATACCTCTGTAGTCTTGACTTGTCCTCATCCGACTGAATTCTCATAAACTTCACATCATCTGCAAACAGGGACACCATGTCGTTCACATATACCAGAGACAGTACTGGTCCTAGTACTGATCCTTGTGTAACCCTGCAAGTCATAGACGCCCACTCTGACACCTCATCACGTACCATGACTCGTTGATGCCTTCCCGTCAGGTATTCTCTGATCCATTGTAGTGCCTTCCCTGTTATTCTTGCCTGGTCTTCCAGCTTGTGCACTAATCTCATGTGTGGAACTGTGTCAAAAGGCTTCTTACAGTCCAAGGAAACGTAATCTACCCACTCTGCTCTCTTTCTCTTGTCTTACTGCTGTCACCCTGTCATAGAACTTTAGTAGGTTAGTGAAATAAGATTTCCCATCTCTAAATCCGCACTAGTTGTCGTTTATAAGATCATTCCTTTCTAGGTGGTCCACCACTCTTCTCCTGATAATCTTCTCCGTGATTCTGCATACAATACATGTCAGTGTGACACTGGTCTGTAGTTTAATGTTGCATGTCTTGTCTGTCTCATTTTCTTAAAAACAGGGCGACTACCACAGGTAGTCGTCCTGTTTCGATAGATGTGTTGAAGATTGGTTTTAATGGTACACAGAGCATCTCTGCTCCCTCTCTCAAGACCCATGGAGAGATGTTATCCAGCCCCATCGCCTTTCAGATATTTAGTTCACTTAGCAGCCTCTTCGCCTCCTCCTTGGTTGTATGTATCATGTCCAACACTTGTCGGTGTATCCTACCTATCCGTCTTTCTAGAGTCCTTTCTGTTTCCACTTTGAATGCTTTAAATAATATGTTGAGCTCCTCACATACCTGGTAATAAATGGAATAAAATACCGACACAATGGAAATATAAACACAAATGCAGTATAATGTGATCCTTTATTGACAACGTTTCACCCACACAGTGGGCTTTCTCAAGTCACACACGGATCTACCTGGGGTTGGAAGGTACGAGAGTATTTATAGTCAGAATGTTGAGGTCAGGTGAAGAATGCTGCATCTGATGATCCACCGGGTGGGGTTATAGAGTCTTGGGTAGCTTGGCAGGGGTATTGGACAAGTTGTAGACCTTCTGCAGTGTTCTATGTTCTTATGTGGGATAGCGATGAAGAAGTTTCTTGGCGAGTGGTTCAGCTATGTTATAGAAGCCATTGTTCTGGTTGAAATTGTTGGTTATAGAGATAAGCGATGATTCCACTCAATACAGAAGAATCCTGGAATCATCGCTTATCTCTATAACCAACAATTTCAACCAGAACAATGGCTTCTATAACATAGCTGAACCACTCGCCAAGAAACTTCTTCATCGCTATCCCACATAAGAAACATAGAACACTGCAGAAGGTCTACAACTTGTCCACTACCCCTGCCAAGCTACCCAAGACTCTATAACCCCACCCGGTGGATCATCAGATGCAGCATTCTTCACCTGACCTCAACATTCTGACTATAAATACTCTCGTACCTTCCAACCCCAGGTAGATCCGTGTGTGACTTGAGAAAGCCCACTGTGTGGGTGAAACGTTGTCAATAAAGGATCACATTATACTGCATTTGTGTTTATATTTCCTCACATACCTCATGGCCATTTCTTGAGATCTTCCCTTCTTCCTTCCTTAGCCTGATTACCTGGTCCTTGACTGTTGTTTTCTTCCTGATGTGACTCCACGACAGCTTCGGGCTGGACTTGGCTTTCGCTGCTATGTCATTTTCGTATTGTCGTTGGGCTTCCCTCCTTACCTGAGCGAATTCGTTTCTGGCTCTTCGACTACTTTCCTTATTCTCCTGGGTCTATTGCCTTCTATACTCTATACATTCTCTAGCACACTTGGTTTTGGCCTCTCTTCATTTTTGAGTAAACCAAGGGATCATACTGGCCCTCTCATTATGCCGTCTGTTGCCCTTGGGTACAAACGTCTCCTATGCTTCCTTGCATATTGTTGTCACATATTCCATCATCTCATTTGCTAATTTTCTCTGTTCCACTCAACCTCGTACAGGAAATTCATCATGCTTGTATAGTCCGCTCTCTTGTACTTTGGCTTCATTCATCCTGCCCTTCCTGTCTCCCTCTCCACTTCTAACTCTACTATGTATTCGAAGCTCAAAACCATGTGATCACTAGCACAACGGGGCCTTTCCTATGTGATGTCCTCAATATCTGCACTACTTAAAGTGAATACTAGATCCAGTCTTGCTGGTTCATTCTCTCCTCTCTCTGGTAGTGTCCCTAACGTGTTGATGCATTATGTTTTTCCAGTACCACTTCCATCATCCTAGCCTTCCACATTTCTGGGCCCCCATGTGGCTCCAGGTTTCCCAATCATTTTCTTTGTTATTGAAGTCACCCACAAGCAGTAGCTTTGCCCTGCCCACAAAGGCCCTTCTGGCCCTTCAGCCATTGTATCAACCATAAATCTGTTACTCTCCTCAAATTCTTCTCTTGGCCTCTTGCTATTCAGTGGTGGGTTATACATCACTGCAATCACCACCTTGGGACCTCCAGTTTGAGGTGATCGTATTATGTAGTCCCGTACTTCTCCTCTGTCTCCTGTCTCCAACTCCTCAAAATCTCATTGGTTTTTTGATAAGTAGTGCCACTCCCCCACCCCCTCTATTCCTTCTGTCTTTCCTTAGGATCTGATATCCAGTTGGAAAGATGGCATCTGTTATCATTCCTGTGAACTTGGTTTCTATGATGTCTGGTGATGCCTCTGTGATTCTTTCATGCCACTCCTCCCACTTATTTGTTATTCCATCAGCGTTGTAGTTTCCTCTCCAACACTGTATTCTGGAAGGTTTGTGTGGGCTGTGAAAGTGGGAGACTCGGCAGGTTGCTATGGGATTCTACTCGGTAGTGTGGGGTAGGGGTTGTGGGTGTGGAGTGTTATTTGTATTGAGGTAGTATATTTGATTGCGTGGTTCTAAGGGTGGTTCTGTGAATGCTTGTGCATGTTGCTCCACTTGATTCTGGTTGTCCTCAACTTTCGTTTTTGTGTCCTCTGAGCTGCTGTCACTCTGTTCTCATTCTGTCGTGATCTAGGAACACCATCCGATATGTCATTGATTTCTTTAGCCATCGTTTCTCCTGCAGGAGCCTGTTCTGCACCGTTTCTCTCTTGAAGATCAGTGTGACTGGCCGATTTCTACCCTTGGATTACCCCCCTATTCTCTGAAAATTTATTAGCCTAGTCATGTCCTCTCTTGTTTGTTTGATGATATTTTCAATCACTTTTTTTTTCTGCCATTGTATGTCCTCTCTTTGCTCTCCTGAAGCCCATGAATGTAGACTAACCTCTCCCTCTCCTAATCTCATTGCTTTTCCCTCTGCATATCTGAGTCCTGTTTATACATAGTCATTGCCTCTCTTATTTCCTGTAACTCCTGGTGGCCTGGTTGTGCTTCTGCATGGTGCATGTCACCTTTTCTACCTACACCCCTCTCACTTTGTGCTGTTTCTGCACCCAGCTTGCTTCCTCTTTTATTCCACGACCTTGCCTGGTGGTCTGATAAGGTCTCAGTGTAAGTCTAGTCTCCTTCCTTTCTTTTGGACCCCTTGTTTAATATTGGAGTACCAGCTTTAGATACCATGTCCCCTCTGGTCATTGGCCCTGTTTCTCGCTTCAGAATATTTACTTCTTCTTTTAGGGACTGTATCTTGGCTACTGCAGCTTCAGCTCACCACTCCCACTTCTTCTCTGCCTCCATCTTTTCCTCCATTTTTGGGTTAAGCTCGCCTGATTTGCTTTCCCACTCTTGTTCCGAACCTTATCAATAGCTCCTTCATCCATTCTTCCTTTCTAGGCCCATCTTCCTCTGGTTTTGAAGTATGTGTGTGTGTGTGTGTGTGTGTGTGTGTGTGTGTGTGTGTGTGTGTGTGTGTGTGTGTGTGTGTGTGTTGTACGTATGTGTGTGTGTTGTTGTGCATGTGTGTGAGCTGTTTGTGTGTGCATGTGTATATGTGTGTGGGCTCTTTTATTTATGGTTGCAGGGGTCGAATCATAGCTGCTGGCTATGTGTGTGTGTGTGTGTGTGTGTGTGTGTGTGTGTGTGTGTGTGTGTGTGTGTGTGTGTGTGTGTGTGTGTGTGTGTGAGTGTGTGTGTACTCACCTATTTGTGGTTGCCGGGCTCCGGGTTAAAGACAGGAGAGTGACACAGCCAGGTTCTGAGTTAAGAATGAGTGACACTGCTGGACCCTGGGTTAAAG